ACACATTAGCTCCAGACAATGCAATTACAGTAATGAGAACTAATGTCTAATAACTATACTTGACCACTGAAGAAGGCCATGAGGCCAAAATGAGGTTGGTCAGGGTCGCATAAGGTCCATGTTTGAGATTACTGTACGATTTTAATCTGAATTGAGGCTATATTTGGGCCTGTAATTGTTTTTAAACTATTTTGTAATAAATACACATATTTTTGAATAAGTGAAATATATATTATGTCCTATATTCAGCTACTTTATACTCTGGGCCCTTTAATTTGGATTCATTTAACCTTCTTGTGGGTTATTTTTTCCTCTCCTCCCCCTTTTTTTGCCCAGTAGCTCAGTCTCTACATCTACACTCTAAGCTGTTACTTGACTTTTTAAATTTAAGGTAAACAGTAATTGAAAGAGAGAGAATGAGGTAGCTGCATCCTGTCACTAGTGTTACATGGTAATAGATGACAGATCTCTTTGGGTAAAACAAATTTGCCCGAGGATAACTGCAGCAAAGATTTAGCACGTATATAAACCCTCGGAGAACAGTTCCAGTGTTTTAATCATTGCACTCCCAGCTCTGCTTTGATATTATTGTTACCTTTTAAATTAAGCACTGAATATTATATATCTTCGATACCCCCATATTGCTTAAGAAGGGTTCAGCTGCCAGTGGCTTTTGAAGAGGTCTGTGGCGCACTGGAATTGGAACAGACATTATGTAACATGGCAGTCGATAGATACAGTCTTCATTTTCAACCGGGGAGGAGGGGGGAATTGGATTCTGACCCCAACACTTGATCGTTGAGGAATCACTTGAAATGATGGTGTCTAATAGTTTTGCACTGTGAGGGGTTTTTCCCCCTCTCTCACTGCAAACGAGCCGTCTGTCAGATGGACCGCTGTTATCTCTGCATTGCCTTTTTCATTATTAAAAACAGCTTTGACCAAAAAAAGTGGCTTTTGAAGAGGTCTGTGGCGCACTGGAATTGGAACAGACATTATGTAACATGGCAGTCGATAGATACAGTCTTCATTTTCAACCGGGGAGGAGGGGGGAATTGGATTCTGACCCCAACACTTGATCGTGGAGGAATCACTTGAAATGATGGTGTCTAATAGTTTTGCACTGTGAGGGGTTTTTCCCCCTCTCTCACTGCAAACGAGCCCTCTGTCAGATGGACTGCTGTTATCTCTGCATTCCCTTTTTCATTATTAAAAACAGCATTGACCAAAAAAAACCCCAGTTTACTTACAACGGTGCAGCCAACGGCATATGCTCCTCTGGCTTCTGACCAGAGATATTACCGAATGAGTCATCTGCACTCATGGAAGTGAGAAGCAAACATGAGTCAGATGATAAGGTGGCGGCACAGAGGCGGGGAACAGGACCCAGGACTCCCCTGGTACAGGAGGGTGGGGAAAGTGCCATGCCCATGACCACAGGAGGATTCATTCTTCAGTTTGTTTGTTTCTATTAGTGGTGTAAATCACAGACAGTATAAGTACTCAGAAACCGGATTGTCGAGCTTCCCTCTTCTTTTGTTAGCCTTCAAATCCAGAAGACTTGCACTTTTTTTTTTTACGAAGGCGTATATCAATCAACAGCCAGCAGTAGAAGAACAACAAAATTTTTGTATTAGTGATGGGTAGGGTTGTCAACCTCCAGGTGGTAGCTGGAGATCTCCTGGGATTACTAATAGGAGGGTGGGGAAAGTGCCCATGACCACAGGAGGATTCATTCTTCAGTTTGTTTGTTTCTATTAGCGGTGTAAGTCACAGACAGTATAAATACTCAGAAACCGGATTGTCGAGCTTCCCTCTTCTTTTGTTAGCCTTTGAATCCAGAAGACCTGCACTTTTTTTTTTAACGAAGGCGTATATCGATCAACAGCCAGCAGTAGAACAACAACAAAAATTTTGTATTGTGATGGGTAGGGTTGTCAACCTCCAGGTGGTGACTGGAGATCTCCTGGGATTACTACTGCCTTCCATGCGACAGAGATGGAGAAAATGGCTGCTCTGGAAGGTGGACTCTATGGCATTATACACGGCTGAGGTCCCCCCTCCTCAAACCCTGCTGTCCTCAGGCTCCACCCCCAAACTTTCCAGGGATTTATTTTTTGGGGGTTGTGTGTGTGATTTTGTGTGTTCGCGCGCTTGCGTGCCTGGAAGTCATGGTGACTTCTGGTGACCCCTAGTGGGGTGTGGACGTTTCAGAGAGGTGGCTTGATAGCCTGCCTCTGCGTCCCAATCCTTGGTATTCTTTGGAGGTCTCCCTTCCAATTACTCACCAGGGTCGGCCCTGCTTAACTCCCGGGATCTGACAAGATCGGGCTTGCCGGGGCTATCCAGGTCATGGCACTTTACGGGTATTTCTGAACCCAGAGCTGGGAACCCTAAAGAACATCAATATTAAAAGTATGCAGGCTGACTAGAACAAAAAAGGATTACATCATCAGCAGCAGCAGCAGCATCACCAGGGGTCATTTCCTGCGGGAGCGCACAGGAGCGGAGCTCCGGCAGTAAGGAGCCCAGGGGGCGGACACATGCAACAAGCCCCACTCCCTGCAGCCCTCAGTTTGGCCATGAGGAGCAAGAAGCAGCCAGGTAAGTTGCAGAGCCCGCCCCCTGGCCTGCCTTCAGGTACAAACTCTCCCTCTTCTGTGAAGGCAGATCTGTGCGCCCCCCCCCCATAGCTAGCAATCCAAAACAGTCCAGTGGCACCTTTAAGACCAAGTTTCATTCAGGTATAAGCTCCCCCTCCTCTGCGAGGACAGATCTGCACG